AAAGATCACTTAAGGTCATGGGGGAAGAAACCACAGATATATTGTTAGCAGGGAAGATCACAAATCCGTAGGTTCCTGAATAAGAGTGGTGATTAAGTTGTTGTTTCGAGATTTACTACCTGAATTTCAAATATCACTAATTATGGCAGGATAAACAAAAGTCTGGCAGTTGGATGATGAGGTGATTTTAGACATCTTGCCAAGGTGGGCACCAAGGAGCTCTCCAAAGAGAAATGTTTTACCTCGGTGAGTTGGAAGAAAGAGTGTCCTTTGAGCATAGGGAGTAACTTAAGCATGGAGGTCCAGAGAGCAGATTTTGGGAATTTAGAACTAGCAGTCCAGAGAGAGAAGTCAGCAAAATAATTAGACTTGAGGATGAGGTAGAGGTGGGAGGTGGGAGAGGCAGCAATTCTCTAGGCAGTAGAAAGAATGAGACCCTGATTCATGGCCTTGAGATTTCTAATACCCAACCCCTCACCCTCCTGCTTGGAAGGGCAAATGTCTTTCCACACTCTAAAATAAAGGCTCCTAGATGAGCTATCCTTTTTAATTCCCGTCCACCAAAAAAATCCTGATCATAGCGGTTAGTTTAGTGATAAATTTCTTTGCTAATAAAATGGTTGACATGCAATAAATTTCTTTGCTATCTAACTAGTTCCAGCCTAGCAGCATGCGAGCGCATGTTGGCTTTGTAAGAGGGCAACTTAGCCATAAATTTATCAAGCACAAAATTGTAAGGAGTGGTTCTATTTTTTGCCAGAAGAATGAGTGGGTGACCTAGATTGAAATCACTGTTCATAGCTGGAACCGGGAAAATGGACATTGGCACTGAAAAGGATAGCAGATTTGTTCCATTTTTGGGTTTGACCTAACTTAGCACAAATGTGTTGGAGAATGTGTGCCATCTTGGATGCTTCCTCATGAGTTGCTTGCCCACAAACCAGAAGGTCATCTGCAAAAAGCAAAGAGTGGACAGGAGTACAATTTAGTCCAAGCACGATACCCAGTGGTGGAGCT